TGTGTTTCTTAATAATTGATAGTGACATCAACGTGAAGAATAGTTTATTATTAATGCCTTGCTGTCAGTGGAGGTCTGTTTCTAGACTTCATAAGTAGCTGTTCTTTTCTGAAAGAGTTGGCTCAGGTAGAAACCTAGCCTTTCTCCAGCCTCTACTATAACAACAGCCAGCAGCTGACAGAACACCATTGGAGAATTTCTCAGTGGATGACATGGAGGACCCTGGACATGTTCCTTCTTTATATAACCTCAGAGCAGCCCACAGGGGCATAGTCACTATGGCCGCCAGTAGAGCCTGGTTGGATCACCCCAACACACACAGTATCTCAGAGAATGATTTAAAATATCTACGGACCTTCTGCTGAGGGTGACCCCATTTTTTCTGTCACTCAGTCTTTCAGAGATGGATGCCTCTTCTCATACTTCTTTTCCCATTAGCCCATAATCTTGTTTCCCTTCTTTTCCTGCCTCTCAACAATGAGCAAAGACTTCAGATGTGTTTGCAGGCTCTATTAGAAAGCATATTACTGACACCCATGTAATTTCCCTTATGTAGCAAGATTCCCCAGAGATGTGAGGGCCTGAAATTTAGGGACTGAGCAAGAGAATCTGTCTGAATTAGAAACACAAGTACCCAAGGAGCTTTAGCCTCTGCTCTTCCCAAGGAAAATGAAAATGTTGTCAAGATAAAAACAGAAGGAGCAAAGCTTAAGCAGTGATAGAAAGCCAAAAAGTTAGGTGGAAAAAGATTAGTCATATCTACCGAACATAAATCTATAAAAGAGACCCAGTTTTTTTGTGGCATACAATGAAATGCATTAAATTATAAGCTGGAAATCTATCTAGGGAAAGTATAGATACACATCAATTAATAGAAGTGTCCATTGATGAAGAAATCATCTATTCATAATTTATTTAACACATGTCATTCGACTAGTAATCAATGAAATTCATGAACAAATAAGAAGTCAGCCACTTCTTAACCCTTTTATTTATTTGTAAGCTCTAGTGATCACCTACTTCATAGCTTTTCCGTTATAATAAAATGTTTATTAATTATATTTCTTCAATTTTTTTTATATATCTCTACTTGACACTTCTCTAGCTTGGAGAATTGATTTTTTCATCAAACTTTTGAAAATGTTAAGATAATGGAATTTAGTTCCTTAAAATAGCCGACAGGCCAAGTTAGAAAAATATATATTGGGAAACTCACTAAAATGTTACTCTCAGGTTCTTACTAGTTTTGGTTTTATAGGTGTGACCACCTTTTAATGAAATTCTTTTTGTACTTAAAGAATTAAATCATTCTGGATAGAGTCCAAAATTTTAAACGAATTCCACTTCATGATACATTAGGTTTTATAAGTGATATAGTATAAATTCACAACTATTTTCCAAGAGACCCTCAGAATTCTCGTTAGCAAAATACTTCCAAGGTTGATAACAATTTACTACAATAAACTGGCTGTGCAGGTGAAGTTGCAGTATCTCTTTCTGGAAGACGTAAAGAACAGGAAAAATTTTCATTGTAAGATTTTAATATTATGCTAATAACCAAACAAAACTCTTTTATGAAGGACAGCATGGAGAAAAGACAGATGGAAGGAACAGTTAATGAGTGAGGGTGGGATGAGATAGAGCTATCTTTGTCCAATGATTATCTGGAAAAGACACTGCAGACTGAGTCATTGAGACCTGCATCATCATATCATCCCAAACGAACACAGAAGCTATTTAAAGACTTCAATTTTATGCTCAGAAGTGAAAGAGAAAGAAAGGAAGAGGAGGAAAATGACTGTAATAGTTGGCAACTGGCATGTGACAAAAGTGTGGGGAGATGCAAAAGATCGGCTAAGCAATTCCCTACTCTGGACCCATGCATAGTGCTAAAATATGAGTGAAAGAAAAACACAGGTATGGGAGCTTCCAGGACCATTGTGAGTTCAGTCTCCTTGCTGGATTATAAATCCTCATTTCTAGCTTGGAAAATCTGGACTCTGTAAGTATAATTCATGTTTGTTATATTGTAGAGCTATTCATCTTTGTCTCTGCAAATTTTTCTCCAGCTTCTCTGTCATATATTAATATCAGATCAATGTAATTTTGAATTGCAGAAAACACAAACCAAAGAATTTATTTTTTAGTCTCAGCTCAGTTTCCTTTAAAGTCAATGTCCCTTTCTACCACTCCATGCTGCCCACCCACCATTTTCCTGAGGACACATTCCTCATTTTTTGTAGATCCTCCCTTACTTGTTGGAAATTGCATTGGAATTAAATATTTTAGCTACTTGAACACACATGTTCAACAAATATTGGTCAATCATCATTCTCTTCCCCTAGATATCGAGGAGTACTTGTAAAAATTGTGTGTAAGGAAACCTTTTCAGTAAGCAATGCAGAATTTTTAGGTGAGCCTTGACATATCCTACTATTTCAGTGATTATGTCTTACCAATGCGGTTGTTACTAATTCATCCAGTTGTAAGCAATGGAAATTGCCTCTAGTAAACTTAAGAAAAAGGGCATTTTTAGGAGATTGAAAATCAATAGGAAGACTGGAGAACAAAGAAGGAACTAAGAACTTCAGATCCAAGATACAAGAAATAAAGGAAGAGCCTTAGAGAGGAGGTTCCTCTCAGAGAGGCACCACTAGAGTACACAACCTCCAAAAAAGCCTGGTCTCTTTGTGCCTCAGCTAAAAATTCAAATTCCAAGGAGGTCATTTGTTTAGCACTTGGGGAAAG